ATTACAGAATGCTATAAAACATGTCTAATCATCATCCATTTAAATAACTCAACTCGAGCCACAACAGTTCTACTAATTAATTATGGGATAATTAGTTGAGAAAGGCATTATAAATGTGAAACTTCAACATTCTTTATGGAGACCTTGAAAATATTATAATTGTAAATCATTAATATTATATAATAATGAGAGGCGTTAAATAATAGGTAATATAATAATATATATTAAGTATATATACTACTACACTTACTTATATACATGATAAATATAGGAGGTATCTCTAAGAGAAGGCACTATTAGATTTTTATATATTTTGAAGGATATTAGATTTCTAAATAAACTCTAACTAACATATAATTTAGGATTTCCTCTATACTTATCCTACTATAATTACTCTTCTCTTAATAAATATGTATATCTCCAACTAAATCTAGAAAAGTGGCTATTTCTTAAATTCTTTCAATTCTCAATTTATGATGGTTAACATATAACATTTTTTTCGAAAAAGAAAAAACAATAATAAGAACATAAACAACAATATTTAAGAGCTGTAAAATTCATTAAAAAGAAATACTAAAAGCCATTTTTTTAAAGTCATAAAAGCAATGGAATTCATAAATCATAATAAGGGAGAACACCAAAAGCCATTATGTTTTAAAAGTTATATAACTCATAAATTAGAGAGAGGTAAGGAAGAAATTTTATCTACAAAACCTTGAATTTTTTCTAACCAAGTTAATACAAAATACTCAAATAATAGAGAGTTTCACTCTTCAAATAGAATGCCACGTCAGTATCCATGATTACTTGATATTTAAAAATAAAAATAATATTTTTATTATAACGAATAATCACTTTCAATAATTCAAATATCAAATATATTATACTTATTGATTCCCAAAGAAATAAAATACCAAATAAAGTTTTTTCGTAGATTCTTAATATATTAATATATACATACACAAATCAAGTTTATAATTAATCTTGAATTTTTTATTTTCTAGAAATATTTTAGTAGGTTTTAAAATAATTTTTATAAATATCAATTATTATTGTACACAAATTCAATGTGTGGAGTATTAAATCTTGAATTTTTATTTTCTAGAAATATTTTAGTAGGTTTTATAATTTTTACTAATACCCACTCAATTATTATTAGAATTCATATTCTGAATAAATAGGTCTAAAATATGCACCCATTAGACCCTACAAAATTACATGAAAGATTTAAAACACATACAAAAATTCATTAAAATTATGCCCCTAATTTGAAATAAGTTTATAAGAAATGATTGTCAACCTCCCTGTCCAACGTTATAAACAAAGAAAAAAATTACTAATATCAAATTTTAATCATATATTAAGTTAATTATTGGATAACATAAAAAAAAAAAAAAAAAATTACATATCAATTTAATCATATCTTAGTTAATCATTGATAACTGAATGTACTTTGTAATTTCATTATTATCACCATATTGATCAAGCTCAAATTTATTAAATGCCATGAAAATAGTCTTATATTGTTTACAAGGAATCCAATTTTCTTGCTGAAAGTATAATGTGATTTTTTTTTTTTTTATGATTTCATTTATATTGAAATAGATGTTTATATAAATTCTGCAAAAATAGGAAAGTAAAAAAAAAAAGAAAATGAAAGAGAAAATTGTAATGACATTGTTAAATATTTATAAAAAGAAAGTGAAAAGATTTTAAAATATTAATGATATTATTAATTTTATTAATTATTCAAAAACTAAAAATTTTAATGATATTTATTAAATTCTCAATTAAAAATATTAAAAAATAATTTTTTTAAATATAAAAATTAATTTCAACTCAATATATTAATATTCCCTTATAAGCACCTTAATAGTATAAAATGATGTCACATAAACTTTTAGAACTCAACTTTTATATATTTATATAGATAGATAGATATAGAAAATAATAATGATGATAATGATTTAGGGATTATTTATTTTGTCTTTCTGATAACTTATTAGACCTTCAGCTTATTCGGTCAAATAATAATAAATAAGCATATTTGATAAATTGAACTAATAAATTATTTATCTAAATTTGCAAACCAAATTTACTTTCATGAAAAAACTTCATTTGAGAGCTAATTTAATGTCTTTCTGCTTTAGGTATTTATACTAGCTGATAGCTGATATTTGATTGAAATTAGCTAATAGCAGTTAGTTGAAAAATATCAGTATTTAATAAAATTTTAGTTGAAATTAGCTAATAGCAGTTAGTTGAAAAATATTAGTATTTAATAAAATTTTAGTAGCAGTTACCGTTAAAATATGAAATGAAGGTTAAGAGTAAATCGTAAATATATTATAATTTTTTATTTTAATGTTGTATAAATAAACAATATTAAATTTTTTATAATATGTAATACCTATTTGTTATCTTTAATTAATTGTATATAAACAAATCCTCATGGGCTGCAATGGGAAAATAAGCCTCATTGACCTTGTTTTGCATATGAAGTAGCTCTAAAAAATCATTAAAAGAAGGCTCGAATCTAAGAATTCTATGCAAGGCAATTACGATCCTCCAAAAAATTAGGATGAAATTGAGTAATACAAGCCATATAGTGTTTTAGTATAGTAGCATAAAGAGGTCTAAGGGAAATCCAATTTGAATAATTTGTAAGAAACATAACTCTTGAAGTATATTAATTTGAATTATTAATAAAATATTGAACTAAATTAATAAATATTCATTTTAAATGAGACTTTTAAACATATCTATGTTTTAAAGTTATTATTATAAAATAATTTAATCTATTTAGAAAAACAATTAGCTAAAGAAAATTAAACAGACCAAAGACTAATACAAAACCAAAATCTGTAACTAAATATATAACAAAAAAATTTATGACAGTTGGAGAGTGGGCGGGACTCTAGCCCCCGCTAATCCCCTCCCTCCCTTTGTGGCTGCCTAACTCCAACTTTAAAATTTTATGATCTTGTGCTTTTAAGTTCACAGAAGGGAAGAAATTAGCAGTTTAGAACTATCTCACAAATCTTAATGCAAGATTAGAAAGACTTTATAAAGAGCGGAAGAAATTAGCAGTTTAGAACTATCTCACAAATCTTAATGCAAGATTAGAAAGACTTTATAAAGAGCAGTTATTGTGATTAGAACTGCTTCACAAATCTTAATTAATTTCAGAAACATTTTATGAAAAAAGGTTATTGCGTTTTTAGAACTACTTCATGAAGCTTAGATAAGTATTAAAGATTTTGTGAAAAACAGTTATTAAATTTTAGAACTACTTCACAAAGCTTTAAGCAAAGTTAGAGAACTGATTCAAATTCGAATTGTGATTTGTACTGAATATAGAAGAACATATTAGAACTTCGTATAATCACAATACAGAAATCTGGAGTTCTAATGTTCAATAAAAATAAAGCTTATCCAAATTTAGAACCATAAAATCATTAACAATTTTGCATTTCTAAAAGATTAACAGTTGTGTAAATAAAATAGAATCAAGCAGAACTTCAGAAAATAAAATTCAGAAAATTAAAAAGATAAACATAGCGATTTATAATGGTTCGTTAGAACCATAAAATCATTAACAATTTTGCATTTCTAAAAGATTAACAGTTGTGTAAATAAAATAGAATCAAGCAGAACTTCAGAAAATAAAAAGATAAACATAGCGATTTATAATGGTTCGGCACTAACTAGCTTACATCCACTCCCCAAGACTCATCTTAAGATCCTCTACTATGTTATCTCTTTTCAAGGGTAAGAGACAAGCGAACAATACAAGGCAATAGATCAACTCCTAGATCTACCCTCTGTCCCACTAGATTTTCCAAAACTTCTAGTCAATCTCAACCCTTTCTGCTTTTGCAGAGAATAGAAAATCAAATCAAGACATTAGAATCTCACACAAGGAGAAGGTCGCTTAATAACTTTTTACTACACAGCTTTTCACCTCATCTGTCACACAAAAGTTTTTCAAATAAAAGCATGTCTACAACAGATTACAGAATCTATATAGACATATAAAAATACAAATATAAGTACAGGAAGAACAGTAAACAAGTTTAGAAAATGGGTTTAAAGATTAGAACCGTTCTTCAAAAAATGTTGTTACTAAATTTTCTTTTCTCTTAAAAATTTTTCTTGAAGTAACAAGACGAAAAGAAATAAGGGGGTTAAGAGTGAGTTTTGAGAGATAAAAACGTTGATGCAATTAACTCTTACTCTTAAAAATTAAATTACACACGTTTTCACAGGAGGAAGGCGTCTTTTATAGTAGGTTGAAGATCTCGTTTTAGAAAGTGTAATCTTTAGCTTTTAAAGAAGATTTTTGACTTTCCAAAATTAAAAGATACAAGAAGATCCTTATTTGTTTTGTTGCCAAAAATATTTTAAGTAAAATCTTTTCTTTTAAGGTAAGTAAATAAAAACGAGATTTTGTACTTTTTTTATCAAATAATTTCAAAAAATAAAAGATATAAAAATCTATTTCAAATATTTTGTTACCAAAAATAATTAAAACAAAATCTTTCTCTTTTAGGAAAGTAAAGCAAAAAGATCATATTTGATTTTTATTATTTAAGGTAATTTTCGAAAATCATTTTTGAGAGAGAGAAGAAATATTTCTTGCGCTTATAGAAGAAATTCTCTCTATCCTACTATAAGTCCTAAGATACTAACCACTAAAATCTTCAATAGTCTTCATGGTTTTTAATTAATCTTAGATTTATAGGAACTTGTCTTCTTCAACAATTTCCATATTTAAAAAATATGCATAAAATAATATTAGTATATATAAAAATATTAAATTTATTTATTTTGCATAATCATCGAAATTTCAATATAAAATTGACTCTTGAGCCAACACTATTTTACCTAACATGAAGGGCTATAAATGGGTGAAGGGTTCGATTCAAAGTTCACAAATTCCAACTATATTAGAGTAAAAGTATATGCACTCTCAAAAACAGTTAAAAGCTTATATTTGAAATGTGGGCAATTGTATTGTTTGTCGCATTGGTAGTTGTATACTTCGCCTATCGGTTTAACAAATGGAGAAACCCAAAATGCAATGGAATTCTGCCTCCTGGTTCCATGGGATTGCCTTTCATTGGGGAGTCTCTTAAGCTTCTAACTCCTAGCTACTCAATAGATACTCATCCATTCATTACAATAGATTACAAAGGTACAAATATTTACCCATTCCTTTTTATTTGTGGAATGAACTAAGGATTTGACAATAGCTTTTTAAGTAGTTAATCAAAACGCTAAACACTATTTCTATAGTGTTCAGTAACATAGAGTATAAACTAGCTTTTAAAGGTTAAAGTAGTGTTTTATAAAAAGTTAACTTAAAAAACGTTTAGCTTTTAGCGTTTCATGAAAAACTATTTAAATAGCTAGACCGTTATTTGCCGAACAAACCGTAAAATAACGATATTAGCTGTAAAACAAGAATAGCTCTTCCTTTAATTCATAAATTAATAAAAAATTTTATAGTCAAGATGACTTAAAACTCAAACTCAAACTCAATTGAGACCTCCCACTTTTCGTATTATATTCTATAAAAATTGAAAAAACCAACTAAATTATCATTAGTGTTATTTATGCCTATGGGAGAAGGAATCGGTTTAATCGTGAGTTTTGCAAGTACTTGCTTCGTATTTTGTTATTATTATTTAAATTCTAGTATTTATTTATTTGTTTGTTTGTACAGATACGGACCCATATTTAAAAGCAGTGTGGCGGGTCAATCCGTAGTAATTTCAGCTGACCCGGAATTTAACAATTACCTGTTAAGTCAAGAAGGGAGGTTAGTGGAATTCTGGTATACGGACGCGTCTAAGGTAATGATGGGAGGGGTGGGGATCAATGCCTCTGGTTACATTCACAAGTACAATCGAAGCCTTCTCATGAACCATTTTGGTAGGGAGAACCTCAAAGAAAAATGGCTTCCTCAAATACAAAATTTGCTTAACAAAACTTTATCGTCATGGTCAACTCAGGAAAATGTGGAAGTCAAAGAAGCTTTTGCCTCCGTAAGTGTGGGCTACTTATATTTTCTTTAGCATTAAAATTAAAATTACTTTTTCAAAACAAATGTTATTATTATATATATATATATATTTCGGATATGTTAATTAGATATTATTAAAGTTTATTTTTAAAGTGATTTTCATATCTATTGGTCATAAAATTAAATTTCAAAATAAATAAATGCTCATTTTGATTTAGCAGTTGATACTATATTATAGTTGAAAGTATTTGTTGTTGGCTAATAGTAGTTAGCTGATTATTTATTGTGTATATACACTTATCATTAGGTTATGTCTTGATATGCGAATTAAATGCCCACTAAATGAAAGGTTTAGCATCATTCATTCAGTTAACTTTAAAGCAAACTAAACTAGTTTAAAGTGAATAAATCAATTACGTTAGTAGAAATCAACGACTTGTTTTATTTTTTGCAGGTTATTTGTGAATTTACAGCAAATATTTTGTTTGGTTATGATTTTGAAAAATCAGCTGGTAGACTCGGCGACAACTTTACCGGTGTACAAAAAGTTTTGCTATCATTTCCTTTGAATATTTCTGGTATGACATACTATCAAAGTTTGAAGGTAATGGAGATATGGAAGAGATTATTATTTAGTAAGTAGGGTTTATGCAATTATTATTTTAACTTGTTTGCTTTATTATTCATATTTCAGAGTCGAGAGAGGGCATTCGAGATTTTTAAAAAAGCAGTTAAGGATAGAATTAACTCAGTTGAGAAGTCTCGAGACGATGTTCTTGATCAAGCCTTGACAGATATGGAAAGAGAGAAGTTCTTAACGGAGGAATTTATACAATTTATTTTTTTTGGGGTTTTGTTTGCTACTTATGAATCGATTTCGTTAACAGTGGCATTAATCTTCAAGTTCCTTGAATCTCATCCATCTGTGTTAGCAGAGTTGATGGTACGTTATCTTTAAACATATTTTAGAAAATGAGTTAAACCAATCCATTTTATCAACTATTTTTAATTAATTTGCCACAGATTGAACATGAGAATATTCTCAAAAGTAGACAAGATTCAGAATCTTCAATCACATGGGATGACTATAAATCAATGACTTTCACCCAGCAGGTAATTAAATATGTAACGATCTCTCTATTTTATTCTCATTTTTAACCATTTTTTGTTATTGTGTGCGTAAATCAACAGGTCATTAGTGAAACTCTTAGGTTAGGAACTACTGCACCTGGGTTATGCCGAAAGGCAGTCAAAGATATTCAATTCAAAGGTACATTCATCTTCTTCGGATAACCGTTTATAGGACGATGATTCGGTTAATCCGATTCAAATCGAACTAAATTAAATATAAATAAAAATTAATTTTATTTTAATGTTATTTTTTATTTTTTATTTAAGGATTTACAATACCTACTGGTTGGAACATAATGATGGTCACTTCTATTCGTCATATAAACCCTGAAGTATACAAAGATCCACTTGAGTTTAATCCTTGGCGCTGGAAGGTAAGTCGACTTCATTGATGTATATTAAATTATTAATATTAATAATAAACTTGAAAAGCTCATATATATTTATTAATTTATATAATAGGGATACCCTTTCACTCGACTCATTAAGTTAGTGAAAACTCTTGTTATCGAGATGACTAACATTTGAGACCTCTCACTCTCCACATTAACAAAAAAATCAATTAGATCGTACATGATTAACTTGATTTTAATATAATTAATTACATACATTTATTTACAATTATACCTAACATTTGAGAACCTCTTCACTCTCCACATTAAACAAAAAAAATCAATTAGATCGTACATGATTAACTTGATTTTAATATAATTATTACATTACATTTATTTTACAATTATCAATTATTATATATATTATATATATATATATAATAATATATATATATATATATATATATAGTATATATAATATATATATATATATAAAAGATTAACTTATTGATTGTATTATGCAGGCATATGGTATATATAAAAGATTAACTTATTGATGTATTATGCAGGATATGGACTCATTTACTATATCTAAGAATTTCTCACCTTTTGGAGGAGGAACAAGACAATGTGTTGGGGCTGAGTACAGTAGATTGGTGATTGCTTTGTTTCTCCATTTGTTGATCACCAAATATAGGTAAAGTAATTGAACATTGTTTTGACCAATAGGAAGATTGTTGAATATTTATATTAACTTTTTTTTTTTATTATATAATTTTTAATAGGTGGACAACAATCAAACAAGGAAAGCTTATAAGAAATCCTTATTTAGGATTTGAAGATGGTGTCTACATTAAATTTGCCAAGAAAAATTAGAGAGGGATGTTATTTAATTTTATCTCCCTTTGATAAAATAATTAGCAATAAAATGCTTCTCATAAAACATAATATATATATATGTATATATATAATGCATGTAATCATCTTGAATAATACTAGCTATAATTAGTTATCTACGGCATTTTATATGTTTTAATGTATGATGAACTTTGTGCTTGTTGAACTCCTACATGAAATTTACTATATTCATGTGTGAAGAAAGGAATATACTTACTTATGCTAGTGTATATAAATTCCTTATGTACCTAAAAAATGGTTAATTACTATCATTTAAAAAAAAAATGTCAAGATTTACTATTGTTTTGCCTTTTTTTTCCCTATTGACAAGATAATTATACTGTTGATTGCATCAAATGTTGTCTTCAGATTTGAAATTGTAATAATTATGTCACTATATATATTGAAAAACAATTATTCCATCCCTGTTTTTTTTAAGAAATACTTTTTGAAGTCCATATATTTTCATTTCATCCTAACATTTAGTCATTTCATCTAATTTTATCCAAAAATTCAATTTGCCAGGTGAAAAAAGAAGAGTCAAAAGAGAGAATAAAAAGTTAATGCAAAAATACAATTATGTTCTTCTATTAAACAAATAAAAAAAACAATTAAGAACCAAACATATGTGAAAATATCAAGATAATGATGGCAAAGTATAGAAAACGCATTGAATGTCACTACATTTCTTTGTAAAATTACATTTCATCTTGTGCTACAATTAGACTGATGGTATGTCAAGACCATCTTAAATTGTAAACTAAAACTTTAAATCCTATATGAACCGATGATTCAATCTTCTATATATAAGCTAAGTTTTATACATTAAATCACCTACTAACATAAGATAAATGACATACACTATTATAAATATACTGCAAAATAATTTATCAAATGCAAGTCTCAGATCCAATACATCAAATTATCATTTCATAACAATTAATCAAAAACTATACTATTACAATTTTCATGGTTAACAATATAATCCTATAAATTCTTTCAACAAATATTCATTTAATTAAGAGATCATATAAAATAAATATCAAAAGTATGAAAACATGTGAATACTTTCAACAAATATATATTAAATATCAAAAAGTATGAAAACATGTGGAATACTTTCAACAAATATAGTATATATATATATATTATATATATATATATATATAAGCATAACATAATATAATATTTTTCTCAGTCATAAATATCAGTAAAGGAAGGATTATTAACCATATGTTGGGCTCAAGGGTCAATTTTTATCATTTTATCTTGAGATTTTGATGATTATACAAAACAAATAAATTTAATATTCTTGTATATGCTAATATTATTTTATGCAGATTTTTTTAAATATGGAAATTATTGAAGAAATGAAGTTCGTACAACCCAAGAATTTTATTTGAAGACCATGAAGATTAATGAAGATAATTTCTATTGGTTAGTATTATAATAAGTCTTAGGAAATTATTGTACGATAGAGAGTAAATAATTTTATAAGCACAAATCTATTTTATCTCTCTCAAAATTGTTTTAAAATGTTTTCGAATAAATTTATTAAGAGAATATAGCCAAAATCTTTACTCTTCACGTTTTCCCATCTAAAATATCTTTGGAGTAAATATTCTTAGTTAAAATATTCTTGGTAGCTATTAAATGAAATTCTGCAAAAAGTATTTTTTCTGATCTAAAAAGCAGTTTCTTGATTAAATACAGCTGCTCTGTTTCTAATTACAGCTGGCTGTTTCTTGATAATAAATGTTACACTGTTTCTAAAACTTGAACCTCTCACATTCAAACCTTGATGTGTGAATTATTAAATGTGGTCAAACAGCTTCCTTTTAATTGCCAACCCATTGCATTGCCTCGTAGTTTTAAAAAACATTCAGGAAACTTCATTGCTTCATTAAAGCCAAAAATAATTCTCAACGTTAACTTCCAAAAGAGATATCATTCTTTTCATATAAAAACCATTTCCTCTTTAAAAGAACGCGGTTTTGTAAAAGAGTATGAGGTTCTATTGTTTAAAGCTTAAATCTCTCAAAAGCTCTCTCTTTAATCCCTCCTATTTCATTTTCGTCACTTTTGCATTCAAGAAAATTTTTAAGGAGAATTAAAATTTATTTAACAACATTTTCTAAAGAACAGTTCTTGATCTTTAACATCTGTTTTCTAAATTCGTTTTCTGTTCTTTCCTGTGCTTATATGCATTTCTCTCTGTCTATATAGATTTCTGTTAATCTGTTGTAAGACAGGCTCTTTATTTTGAAAAACTTTTGTGTAATAGCTTAGGTTTGAAAAAGCTTATGATGGTATAGGTATCAAGCGACATTCTCCTGTGGAGGATTTAATGTCTTGATTTGAGTTTCTATTCTCTGCAAAAATAGGAAAGTGTTGAGGTTAACTAGAACCTTTGGAAAATTCTAGGCTGGATAAAGGTATAGATCTAGGTGTGTGATCTATTTCCTTGTATTGTTTTGGTGTCACCCACCCCTTTACCCTACTGACATGGCATGTCGCCCGTAATATAATTAATAAGCACTTAATTCTTATATTTGCTTACTAAGTATACTACAAGGGACTTAAACCTTTTTATTTCCTTCTTTTTTTTTAAAATTTTTTTATATCTTGTAGCAATAATTTAGTTATTAAATGTATAACTTATTTTGGTTCGTTCACCTCACAATTACAGGAATTGCAAAGAAATGTCTATAATTTACTAACTAGTAATCTCAATATAATTTCTTAAACATATTATTAAAAACATAAAATGGTTCCATAACCCATAAGTCCATAGATGATTTAATTACATATTGGAGTTCTGTTCAAATCTTAGATACATAATAGAAATTAATTACTTAATAGACTATAAATTTTCAAATTCATACAATCATAATTCACATGAATCTGCTCAAATATACATAGATGATCTGTTAATGTTTAATACATCATACATATTCTAAAAGAAGTCAAATATACAATAGCTACATCAGTAGCATACTATCTACATCAAATAAAAATGATCCTCTCTTGGTTCTTTTTCCTTTTCTTTACCTGCGATAAGTGACAAAAGCAACTATCAGCTAAGCATGATAGGCTTTAGTGGTGTAACTAATAAAAATAAATAAGGAATGACAATTCATAAATCCACCAATAGGTAAAGAAAATAAAGAAACAAATAAATCAATACCAATTTAAATCATCAAATTCATAATATGGTCTTTTACAGCTTTTATACGAGTCAATTCTGAGGCCCCATCAGTGTCTGAATGTGCACATCATAAGACTGCTATCTACAAACCTCATATACCCCTTCCCCTTGTTTTTTTTTTTTTTTTTTTTTTTTTTTGGAACAAAAATTATATTAATTTTGGGGGAATTTCAACAGAAGAGAAAGGAGCAATATACAACCTCAACATTTGAGGAAGAATATTCATATCAATCAATATATCATCTAGTGATGATATCTCATGTTCAAAATCGATCCGTAAATATCAACTTTCAACAAATTGAAATGATATTCGGTGTAATAACCATATCTTATATCAGCTGTAAAGACTTTTAAACCATTCCATTTAAATGTAACTAATATCAAAAATCCACAAATGGACAACATTTATTTTCACCCACTGCTAAAAACATTCAATCAACGGCCACTTCCCTCATAACTACAGAAATCAATTGGCCAACGTCCTCCTCTTTTCACAGTAATAAGAATCAAATTATATTCATTTAACAATTATCATTTCCGGATTCGTATGCTTTCAAATAATCTTTTTCCTCTTTAAATTATTGTATTATATATTCATAATTCATAAGCAAATACATTGAAAAAATTTTGCAAAATCAATTTCATTGTTTAAATAAAAGTAGGAAGGAATAAATACACAACCGGAGAACTAGATGGTTCCGTCCCCTAGCACCTTTCCCTAAGTAATCACCCTCTTCACTCAACTCCCCTTTCTCCCAAGCAGCTGTAGCTGATATTAATCTGCACATTAAAGATCATACTAACACATGTACACACATGCACTTCTATAAGAAGTAAATTAAGCCTTAAATGTAAGTCTCATGCTTTTTTCTTTCATTTTCACTATACTTGTCCCTTATGTGTTATATGATCTGAGTTTTAAACATGAAACACTTTCATATCCAACACTTAACCACATCCTAGGACACAGAATACTAACAATGAAAACATAAAAGTGAATAGCCATGCTAAATTCGTTTCAAGGTTTAATGACATGCAGAATTTTTAGCAATTTGAGGTACTGGTGTGCGTTGACTGATATCTTGAATTTCCCTTCCCGCCCCCCCTCATATTTCAATGCCCTGAAAGTTTGCAAGCAATGTTTCCCAACACTTAGGTACTGTTCCTGGAAAATTTCAAATTTTTAAAGCTCTTTTCATTTTTTAAATGACATAATTATAGAATATCTTGAAGTTAAAGTTTTTCTCATGCTGAGCAGCCTGCATTGATTTACTTATAACTCCATTTCCTTTTATCCAATTGGCTTAAATTTTTACACGACTACCCAACATTCAGTCTATCTCATATCAAATTTCATAAATTTGGGAGTTCATTTGCCTTAGTCAAATAGTTTCAATTACAGAAGCTGAATTTCAGGCAGCCCAACTGTAACATGTCCAATAAAATTTAATAATATGTTTAACGCCATTCTCACCGTCACTTCCAGCACAAATTCATGCAATCCAACATCTCTATTACTTACATAACATCATAAATATAAGAAAATATCAGAATCCCTAGTTCATGGCATATCAAGAACAAACTCCAAAATCATCC